AAACTAAGACTTGTGCATGCACTTTTAAAATACTGTGACCCTCATAGTCGCAGTATTTGGGGGAAAATGTGATGAATCCATCATACCGTAGAAGATGGTGAGATCCATTCTTGAGCAGAGTAACATAAATCAGCAATAAATGTGCCTGCAGACTTTAGGTTCCCATTAAACATCTTCTAACAAGCAATGTTTGGGCTAACTACTGTTCCCCTTCTGCCCTGGATGTCTCTTTTTTTTTTTTTTTTTGGTTTTTCTCCGGTACCGGGAACCGAACTCACGACCTTGCGCTTGCCAGGAAGGCGCTTTTGCCGCTGAGCTAAATCCCCAGCTCCTGCCCTGGATGTCTCTTAACTGCTCTGGCCCCTTGGGATAGACTGTGTGAATCCCCTTGAATGTCTCTTCCTCTTCCTTTTTTTTGCTAATGATGTTTTTTCAATTTTTACTTTAATTAGTACATGTTTGGAGTAAATAATGATTACATTCATCCTGGGGAGTGGTTTATGTATGTAATACATCTCAGTTGCTTTTCATGCCCTTCCTCTCCCCTCCTCTCTCCCCTCTCCCTCCATTTCTTGGTCAGCCTTTCCATTTGCAAATGATCTGTCTCCCTACTTCCACATTCATCTGTTATTTTGTTCTTTAATCTGTGTTTGGAATCCCTTTTACAGCACCCTTTCACACTCATTTATTTTTTCCCTTTTTGGTTTAAGTCTTTGTTGATGTAATTAGACAGCTTCATTGCAAACGGAAAAAAAAACTTGGAGTGACTGATTTAACTTTCTGCAGATGGATATCCAATGGCTAGATCCCTTGCCGTTGGCTGATTAGAAAATCAACTGAATTCTTGGCTATCACATTGTTTGTCTCTTCTGTCACTCATGAGTTCTGTTTAATCTCTTGGTAAAAGATAAATATGTGCACTTATGCATTGTACAGATAACGTACTACAAATACATGCGCACACTTGCCCATAGTCACATGCACATGCACCCACATATCCATACATAAAATGTCAATACACACACGCACACACACACATACACACACATACATGCACGCACGCACACACACACATACATAGAAGATCAAAATTGTATATATTCAGTATTTGAAATAAATAACATTTTAAATTACTTTGAAGAAAAATATGGCAAGCCCATTTGTTCATTTTATGAATTTCTGGCATTTGAATTTAAGGATGCCTTCATTTAGTCTTGAAGGGAGAGACTGGAAAAAGAGACTGTGTTACCGCCCAGGTATTATACACTCTTCCTGAACTCAGGTTGGCATCTCTTAGTTTTGTCTTTTTTCTCCTTTGCCCTTCCTGTCCCTTTAATAGGAAGCCAGGGTCCTGAATGTGTGTTGCGGGCAGGAACTATCCTTGACTTCTGGGGCCCCGGGACTGTTTCCAAGAGAGGACAACTGGAGAAGTTCCCACAGGGCCTGCTCCCTGGGCTCCTGGCTTTTGTCCTGACCCTTCTGGTGGGTTTGTAATGGGCAGCCAGAGAGAGGCTGTTAGAACTCAAGTGAGCACATGACAGCTCTGGGGACGCTATTGCAGTGGCTTCGTGTCCCACACAACCACTGTCTTGCACTGTTTTCTCTTAGTACTTGTCAGTAACGTGCCATTTTCTTGACTAGCTCGAACTTGTCTTTTCTACCCCTTATACTGTAGTATAAGATCCGTGAGAGCAGGAATTGTTGACTGTTCCTTTTGTTGCCCTGTTCCCACACATGGAGTGTGCCTGATATATACTGTACTAGGCGCTCAATGAGAATTTTCTCAATGAACAAAAGATTGAACAAATGAACATTTAAAGGGAAGAGTCTAGAGATGGTATTCTTACATGACTGCCATTGTTATCTGTGGAATCACCATGAAACACTTTTAAAGAGAAACAGAATAGATGAGAGACCAGAGATGATAATTGTTGTAGTCAGGGTTTGTAAGGGAAAGGAATTAATACAAAATGCAGAATTTATAGGATTATCTTATAATATTCACCCAAAGGGTCAAATGCAAAAAGAGTGCAGGAAATCTATCCACACACTAGAGACCTAAAGCATCTAGCTGAGGGCCTGGATCCCACGACAGTGTCCTGCATGAGTCCAGCTGAAGACCTGGAGCCCGTGGCAATGTCCTCCATGAGTCCAAAAGGAGGCCTAGGAGGCCTCCAAAAGAGACCTACAGACTCGTGCAAGTCTGTATCAAGGATCTGCACTGGGAAGGCCCAGTGGTCAGTGGTGGAAGCTAGAAAGTCTGTGCCAGCGGGACGAAGGATCTGTGCCAGCAGGCTGAGAGATCTGCACTGGAGCCAGGAAGCGATGCTCAAAGTAAAGACCAGAGCTCCCTGCAAAGAACCACAGCCATCCTCAGCAACAACGAGGTCCTGAGCTCCTCTGAGGATGAGAACAGCTGAGTTCATATCAGGAAGGCCCCCATGACAAGCTTCTCCAGGAGAACTCACAGTGCACCCTCTTCGCCGCCAGTTCTCTGTTGATGCTGTTAGCGACAATCCTCAGGTGGGCCTCCCACACCCAGCACCACGCTGACTCAGTCAGCTGGGTGTTACAAGTTGACCACCAGTTGTCAATCCACCACAATAATTTTATGTCTAATGCTGAACACAGGGAAGAAAAGGCACTTTTTCTGGGGAAAAAGCAGGGGTTTCTGAGAGGAAAGGTTGAGTAAGGGAATTTTGTAGAGCATGATTGCTGGTAATTTCTTCCCTGTATGATCTAGGACTATGGTTGTAGATGTGTCTCCTGGCCCTTCCTCTACCAGATGCTCCACGTCATGGAGCCATTTTCCGGTTCTCGAGTGTGACGTTCCTCTCTGATCTCTAGTTGTGGCCAGCGGACCCTCCCTCTCTGCCTCTGTTCCTCTTCTTTCTCTCTGTCCCCCTTTCCCTTTTGTAAACATTTTGTCAAGCAACTCCTGCGAGCTTAGGCAACAAGTGGATGGGACTGTGAAAGAGCTGACTCAGGGCCCCACGGTAGGTAGTAAAGAAACCCTGATGCTCCAGTTGGTGTGGAAGTGTAGGGAGCTTGGCCATGTGCCCTGCCATCAAAGAAGAATAAATAGCTTTTCAAAAGCTGCAAGCCATCTGCAGAGTTGATCGCACACTTCCCTAAAACGAGTCACTTACCTAGGCAAGTCAAAATCAAGTGACTCTTATGTGTCTTATGAATGTGGAAAGAGGATCGTTAAATGGAAATTAACTCCAAACCTGTGATTCTACAATTTAATGTGTTTTCTTTTTTGGATATTTCTATGTGCATTGCTATTAAAAAATAACAGAAAGAATATGTGATTGTGCTTTCTGTGACGCTGGTGTTAGGGTGTTAGGATTTGGCGGAATGACTTTTCTTCTTACGCTTCTTTGCCTGTTGCCAACCCAGTCTTGTCATCTTTCTTACTTTTATTATTTTACCACTCTGTACCCTGGTGCGTACTCCCAGCAAAGCTAAATGGCTTCCCCGCTTAGTTAGGCATAAAACACCGAGAACGCACCAGTGTGGGTGTCTGTCTTCACACATGCTGGGAGATTGAGGGTTAGAAGGGTAAACGCACTCAGCTTTTTATCTGGAACAAAAATATTGCAATTTTTGGATCTTTTATGTATGAGAATAATGTAAGAGGTGAAGTATTTTTATAAATTTCAATGGAAGTATGGGGAGAAAATTAGATAAAGTGATAAGAATTCTCTAGATCTTTGTGTTTGTTGTCGTTTGAGATTTTTGCTTTCTTTCTTTCAAGCTCATCTGGTAGAAGAAAATCTTGTAGTAGTTTTGGGATAATGATGCTTGGGAGAATGGAATATTTAAATACAGATGTGTCCCAACAAAAATATTCATTCCTTGCTCAACTACGTGAACTTTACACATACAAACAGTACCTACTTATAGAATCCTATTTGTATAATAAGCTTCTGTAATTTCAATGTTAATGTGAGGCTTGTAATTCTGAATGTAAAATGGGAAGTACATGGACTATCAAAACGTTTGCATATTTCCTGATTTTAGGTTTGCAATAAGAACAAAGCCATGTGACTGTTTTCCAAGCAGAATATTTAGCTGGTGTGACAGTGATTGTAGTTACGCTAAACAAGCAGTGGGACCTGGTGAAATTATCAATGGCTCTTCCAGCTCAGGAGACAGTGAAATTCAGTCTCCCTGGTTGTAGTTAGAAAAGAAAGGTATTTAAACAGCGAACAACATGTCTTAGGTACCTCAGCACACAGAATACCAAGGGGACATGGGAGAAACTTTTGACACCTGAGGTATGGCCTGCTTTATAAATATTCCCACCAGCATTTATGGCCTTGACATAATGCAGTGCGGCATTATGCAGTCAAGTCCGTATGTCGTGGCTGCACCACGGCATGAAACCTTCACGGCAGGGGGTTGTTGTTTGCGTGTCCCTCCTCCATAGGGCAGTTCAGGCTCCAAAGGATGCTTTTTCACTGGCAGGACTCACCCAGGAGAAGATGATTTACCTTTACTTTTCCACTATCTTCTTTAATAGTAGCACTCATGATGGTGGTACTAATTTTTATCCAGCATTACTTGTTGCTGTCAGCCACATACATGCACTGAGTCATTTGATCCTATCCCTACATCCAATTAAATTTCGGTTGCTATCGCCATTTGACAGCCAGGACCACTGAGGCACAGAGCGGTAGGTAAGTTGCCAAAGCTCCCACAGCAGGTAGAGTTGCTGAGCTGCAAGCCAGGTGGGCTGGCGGGGCCCTGCTGTCTGTGAGGGTGCTTTCTGCTGGGAGCTGTTGGCAGGAATTGTGGCCCCTGCCTGTCCTGAGTGGGATTTGTGATTCCTGTGTTTCCTTTTCTTTTCCATTTTCTTTTCCTCCTCCTTGTTAGGTGAAGTACAAAAGAGATTTTGAAGAAAGCAAAGGGAGAGGCTTCAGCATTGTTACCGACACTCCTGAACTGCAGAGGCTGAAGAGGACGCAGGAACAAATCAGCAATGTAGGTGCCGTTTCCTTGGTGACGTGGTCACCCGCTGCTGTGTGTTCCTGGGTGGGAGCATGAGGTTGGGCGACTTGCTGTGAAATGGAAGATACTCAGAGTCCTTCCCCTATGCTGGGTTCATCAGTTACCCGGAGGCTTAAGTTATTCTAAATTACAGTGTCTGCTTGTTTTGAATGGTTCTCCCCTTTAAGTTTTTGCAAAATAAGATTTTTAGAATTAAGTTAAAAAAACTGATAGTTTTTTTTGCAGTAAATAACATAAAATATAAATATATGAAGTTTAGAAATCTTAAAAATATCTCATAGTGCCTAGTTACGTATATATGCAGTTTAATACTTTAAATATGCATGTTGAATCATCTCGTGTTTGAAATAAACATCTATACCTATAGTTACTTTGGCCTTGAAATCCATGTCTTGCACAGTAATGTATTTCCCTTTTAAAAGAAAATTGGAACTAGCAGAAGTTAAAAATATACTAGGTTGCAGTGTAGTACCTATCAAAGATAGGTAAACAGGTCATTCTTAATTTTTGTAACACGTGATTATGTTACTTCCAAAATATTGTGTGAAGTGTGTCAACATGTATTTTCCCACAACAATGAGCTCAGTGTTAGGTAGCCAAGAGGAAATATGAATGAAAAGCAATAGCTATGTGATATAAAATTATGAGCAAACATGCAACACTCATTATTCATGATAAGTGTATTTTGTGTGTCACTTACATGGGCGCTAACATTTGTTGATGTGAAGTTGTAGGATGTAGCCTTGATTTTTAGGAGATGTTTACTTAGTGGATGGGTTTATACTCCTGATATTTGGCTGTTATCATGAGACACGTTTGCATACAGGTGTGTATCCAGACACATAAAATTTTCAGACAAAATTGTTCAACAATTTGAGAAAAAAGTTTCCTTGTCAGAAGTTCAAAAACTGGCATATTTGATGTTTAGAAAACTTATATGTGGAATAGAAGGAGGCAAAATGCACATTTCTTTTTTCTTTTCACCCTGTTGCCTAAGCTTTATCTATTATTCTTTAAGTGTGTATTTTATATTAGGAAGAACGTTTTCCTTCGAAGAGAAAGAGTTGAATTTAATAGATTTGTGGAGTTGTCTCTTTTTCTGCCACTTTCTAACAACTCCCTTATCGTGAACTGGGACAGTTGTCCCCATTTTCTTCCTCTTTATCCTTTCCTCAAAATCAAACGCCTTTTTTTTTTTCTTTTAAAAATGCGAATTAGAGATGTGTTCTACTAGCAATTACACTCAGTAACAGTTCCTTCTTTGAATCACTTTCGAGTATACTAAAAAAATAAAAATAATGCTGCCCAAACAAAGGTCTACCACAAATCTTCAGCTATCACAGAAATTTATTTCAAAAAGAAGTAAACTTTTCTACATAAGACTTCCACATGACAGCTACCCTGAGGACTACAGCTGATTCAAAGGTAAGCCTTTTAATTTATATCCAAATTAAGTCAACATTCATATTTAATTAGAAAAGGACTGATCATTTCACCACCCTTTATCATTATCAGGAATGTACATTTTGTTTGATACCAGAGGTCCTTTGCAGATCCATTCTTAATATGCAAAATCATCTTACAACACAGGTATGTATTAATTTATCTCTATCATACACATAACAGTGTATACCAAATACCATTAGATTAAGCTTGCAATTTAGATAGTGCTAAATTTTAAAAACATAAAATTAAAACATTTTAGTGTATGTTTGCAGTGCATAATGTTTACATTCCTGTGTGGAGTTGGTACATGTGCGAACACATTTTAATTCTTTTTTTTTTTAATCCATTTACCCTCTCCTCCCTCCCTCTCCTCTCTTGATCCTCTTTCTCACTTGAGAAAGATCTATTCCCCTACTTCCTGTTATCTAACTTTTATTTCGGTCTTTATTTATTCTTTGGGTTTCTCAAATAAGAGAAACCATGTGATATTTAAGCTTGTGTGTCCAAATTATTTCATTTAACAGTATGGTACCTCCATTGTCATGCAAATGATTCCAATTTATCTTTTATGGCAGAGCAGTATACCATGTATATAAATACCACAATCTCTTTATCCATTCATCTGGTGATGGACAGATAGCCACTTCCAAGATTTAGGTATTATGAGTTGGGCTCCTATATATATATGGGTATGCATGGGTCACTCTTTTGGGAAGATACCTAGAAAGGAAAAAGACAGGATGAATGGAGTTTCTACTGTTTTGAGGCATCTCCATGCTGATCTCCATAGTGGTTGTACTAGCTTACCCTCCCACCAGCGGTGTAGAAGGGATCCTTTTCCTTTGCAGCCTTGCCAGCATTTGCTCTTATTTGATGTTTTGATAAAAACCATTCTTTCTGGGGTATCTTTCTGGAATCTCAGGGTTGTTTTGATTTATATTTCTCTAATGGCCAGTGATGTTGAACATTTTTTCTTGTATTTATTGGCTGTTTGTACTTCTTCTGAGATGTGTGTGTTTACTTCACTTGCCAGTTTTTTGATTGGATCTTTTGGTGGGGGTCTGATTTTCTTGGAGTTCTTTGTATATTTTAGGTATGAATCCTCTGTCAGAATAATAGCGGATGGAATTTTTCTCCCATTCTGTAGGTTGTCTCTTCACTCTGTTGGTTGTTTCCTTTGCTGTGCAGAAGCCTTTTAATTCAGTATGTTTCTATTTGTTGATTCTTGGTACTATTTCCTATATAGCTGGGGTTCTATGCAGAAAGTCTTTCCTTTCCTAACTTTAAGAGTTTTACCTTCTTTAGCTTCCAGTAGATTGTATTTCTGTTTTAACACTTAATTCCTTGATCCATTTTGATTTTAGTTTAGTACATGGTGAGAGGTATGGGTCTAAATTCAGTCTTTGCATGACTGAACCAGACACCCAGCTTTCCCAGCATCATTTATTAAAAAGACCATCTTTCCTCCAGTATATGTTTTTGGCACTTTTGTCAAAGATCAAATAGTTGAATGTGTCTGAGGTTGTTTCTACATCTTCTGTTCTGTTCCATCAATACTTATGTCCATTCTTGTGCCAGTACCAGCAGCTTTTATCACTGCAGCTTTGTAATATAACTTCAGATCAGGGTTGTAATGCCTCCTGCCTTGCTCTTTTTACCTAGGGGTTGCTTTTGCTATCCCAGGTCTCTTCTGGTTCTATATGAATTTTAGGATTGTTTTCTCCAGGTCTGTGAAGAATACTATTGGTATTGTGATTGAGATTGCATGAAATCTGTAAAAAGCATGTAATTCAGACAACAACTTTTAAATAAACTTTCTGCAATGTCTGGATATTAGCAACCATAGGGGTTTTATAAGCAGTTCTTTTAGCCATGATGAGACATATTAATGTCTGGGCAGCAGTAAAAAATATAGATTTTTCAATATAACTCTTAGAGACCTACTCCTGAATAAGGGAGGCTGTTAAATATTCTGAGGTCTGCTGAATTTATTATTCACTTACAAAACTACAACTTCATGGCCTTTTTCCATTACCTAACTGGGTTTTCCATATTACTCAAGGATGTCTTTCTATAAGAAATTTGGATTGATCTAAAAAGTGGGACCTTGGTTAGTCCATTTTCCATACTACTTTTGTTTAAACCCACTGAACAGTACTGGCTGCATGCCAGACAGGTATTTTTGGCAGTGGTCTGGATTGTATCTGTTTAGACAGGAGGAAGGCGAGAAAAGTGTCTAGCCTGGGAAGACCCCAGGATTTTCCTGCTGGGGAGAATGGGATGGAGCTGATTCATCTGGAAAATCATAAGCGAGGTGAGATTTGTGAGCCTTGCATTAGAACTCCAAGTTCAGTAGAGGTTCATGGAGGTGGTTAACTACCTACAATCTTTATTTCCCCCTTTGCTGCATGTTCCTGTTTTTAGTTCATTTTATCCTTGAATAATTTGTGGCTCTTTTCAAACCGTCATTCACCTCTTGGACTGAAGAAGGTATAAAGACATAAAGCAGTGAATTTAATGACAACTCCTAGGTGTTTTGGGTAATATGTTATGGATGAATGGGCATTTTTGATTGCTTGTGTCTGTGTCAATGTTATGAAAATTTTTTTGCAGCCACTCATGTTCATTTGTCTAGGATTTGAAGTCATTTGGAAATGCCCACTTGGTCTGCATATGTTACTGAGGTGTGGGATAAGGCGCAACTATAAATTTCAAATTGTGTGTAATAAAAGAAGTGCAAGCAGATTAGCCTTACCTCCTTTTGGTCCCAGTAATGACAACATATTGAACAGCAGATTTATGAAATATTGCAATTTAAAATTCTTCTGCTGCGTTACCTTGTATAGCTGCAGGAAGAACAATGCAAAAGGCAGGAGTTTAGAATTTATGTAATGTTTGGAAGCAAACAGAGCTCAGCGTCTAAAATGAAGAAAATGTTCTCTTTTTTCCCCAGTGACATCCCAGAAGATATCTTCATTTCATTCCATATATTAATGTTCAGGTGGAGCTTGGTTGTTTATGAAATTGAGCAGTGGCCTTGGAGATAGGTTTTATGGGAGGTTGGCCCAGCCAGCCAAGCTATTCAACTGAGGTTGTTTAGAGGTTCCAGTCTGCTTCAAGCTTCTTTCTCCAGCGGAAAGCAACCTTTGTGGACAGTGTAGACGGAGGGACTGAGTGTCTTAAGACTTTCACAATGAAGTCCTTAATTGCCGTTTCTCCCTTCTTGTCCCCAGATTCTAGGGCATAAATTCAGAAGTGGCAGAAGTCTTCTTACACACCTTTACATTTCTCTTAACGATACTTTAAGAATCTGTTATTAAAAGATAATATACAGATACGAGTTGAGGAATACTGTGCCCCTGGGTGTTTAAAAAAATGCTTTATCTTTCATCATGATAGCTCTAGCTTGTGTGGGTTATTGTGAAGGCTCCTTCTAGATTTAGGTTCTTGCTACCTGTGCCCGAGTTTATCAGTAGGGTATTCAGGGTCCCAGCGGCAGGATGACAAAGCAGCATCCTGCCCGGCATCCCAGCGACTGGGTCTAACCGGCAGGAGATTATTGATGCGTTTCCTTCTGCCTGTTTACACACTCCTATGAGCTGCACTTTCAATTAGCTCAGACAGTCGGGGGATAAATTGTGAAATAAAATGGGAAAATCAGACCCCAAGAGACTTTTACAGGCTTTGTGCTGTAGATAAAAACTAGGTATTTATTTGCTAATTTATTTCAGGGGGAAGAGAAATGTCACATGAAGAGGAAAGAAAAAAAAAGCCAATGAGAAAATCATGCATTTTACGGACTGACTGAAATAGTAAGTGCAGCTTTATGTGATTTGTCAGGACGTGTGCCTGTCCCTGACACAGGAAGTGTTTTGTACGTAAGCCTGTATATGCCTGTATCTTCTGGTTGTACATCACTGGGCTATAGCTGATTGTGTTTTCTCCTGCTTTCTATTCTTTCCCCGGCCAGGTCAGTAGCTACAATTTTGGTTTTGTATCATTTTCCCCCCAAATACCCATTTCTTTTTTCTCCCACTTCCAATTCAGCATACCTATGCCTGAGAAATGCTTGCTTGTTTTACAAGAAAAGCTAAGATCGGAGTCTTTTTTCTCAGATGGTAGACAAAAAAAATCTCATGTAATTTGATATTGAAATATAATTAATTCTGAGTGTTTTTTGGATACAGCCACATAATTTTTCATTGATTTCTTTGAATATAAAATAAATTATATACCCAGGAATAGGCCTTCATGGATCCTGCTGATGCAGTTCTCTGAGATTTTGTGAGTTAGCTTCTAAAATATTAGATTATTGGAACTCGGTGTTGCCTGATAATTGAATACCGTGTCTATGGACTATTAAAAGATTTGATTCCAAGTTAGGTTGAATGTAAGGGTGAGCATGTGGGGCTAAGGATGATTATCTAGGGATTTGGACTCTGTTTGTAATTTAAATAAATCATTTTGACAGAGACGGACTGTAACCATGTTCAGGCTGCTGACAGTGTGAAATTGAGTTGTACGGTGGACAGCAGACAAGCAGTCAAGAGAAATCCCCACAGGCAAAATTTGTTATGTAATTGGGTCAACTCATGCATGAGAAATGCATGCTAATTGTAAACTGGTGGCAAAATTATTGTGCAGGAGGCAATTAGGTCTTATGCGAATCCCAACAACTGACATAGCAGTTTTCATCTTCAGAAAATGTACAGGAAAGTTTTATTTATTTATTTTTTTAAAGGGAGAGAAAGGTAGCAATCGGAAAGTCATTCAGTAGGGAGATAGTTTACTGGTTAATTTTCTTCCTGATATAGAGAAATAGAACTTCTTTAACTAACAAAAATTTATACGAAAGTTTCTGAATTTGAAGAGTCAAAGGCAGTTGTACTAAGCAGTTTGAAAGGAGGACAGGATGATATTTGTTAGAATTCCTCATTGCGCCAATTAAAACAGATGATTAATTATGATGCCGGTGGTTAAGAGGTAAATCCTTAAAGGATCGTATTTTTACGGAGTGAATCTCCAAGTTGTTTTAATAGACTGTAGCTCACCTCCAGCTCATCTCAACCCTAAACTCCCTGCATTCCTAAGCAGTAGTGGGTCGGCAGTATTATCTTTAAAAGTGAAGATTAAGTATGTCAAGGAAAGCAATAGGGCAATAGCCTATATTTTTCTTCTAACACCTAACACATGTATGAATACTTCTCTCCTTTTGGAACACTTTGACATACTCCATTTAATTAGCTCCTCTAACAACTCCTCCTGGGGGAAAGGATTTCTATAAGGAATACTTACACTTTCATGAGAAGAATGTATGGAAAATTAGCTCTTGGTGCTTCTTTCCAACTTGTGGTTTCCCCTCCACCTGGATTTGCTTTATTTTTCCATGTAGGGCAAGATTTCAAAGGCTGATCTCTTCTTTTTATCCTCAATTTTTTTTAAAGCCATAGTCACTTAAAGAAACAAATCCATCCCAGACTAGTAATTACTCGTGCATGGCAGGAACAAGAGCCATGGTTTAAAATGGCATTGTCAGGAGGGGAGCTTTGGAAAGCGCCACCATAATCCGACTTCTTTTTGGAGACAGATTAGGACAGAAAATGTTTTCTGAAGATCCTTCTTTGTAAGATCCGTTCTGCCCCGTCCTATCTTTTCAGCTCTGTTGTGTTCGGGCCCTTTTCCTGCCCGGGTTCCTCCTGTGGCCCTCTAATTGGCCTGATCTCCTTCCAGGCTCTCTGGTCCTTCCATTGTATGGAAAGCGCCATCACCAGATGAGTCTTTCTGAAATATCCCTTTCATCAAGACCTTAATTATGACCCACTAACAAACTTTCTTTGGACCTCTGCTTCGAGCAGGATAAAGTCTAATCTCCTACCCCTCTTAATTCTGACTCTAAGGACTCTTTACTGCTGCTCCGAAATTATTTTCTGCCTCATCTTTCATTGCTTGAAAGCTCAGTCCATTTCTTTTAGGCCTGGCCACCTGCTCTGCCCTGGACCTTCGCATGAGTCATTCCTCTTGTTTAGGACGATTTCACACTCTCTGTAAATGACATCCTGAGCCTAGCTACACACGCAGACACCAGCTACAGCAATCTTCCTCGTCTCTGGAGTACTGTCATGCTTTGTGCTATCGTTTTGACCACTCATTTCTCACCTTTTATTATGTATGTGGGCTTTCATGAGTATTTCCTGTGTAGAAATGTCTGACCCCCCTAACTTTGTGGAGGCAGACGTCATCCATGCCGTTTTCAGTTTATTTTTTGTGTCTTCAAGAATGCACAACAGCACGGCACTTTCTTTCTCATCCTTTCTTTAAGGTGTGTCCCCACCCCTTCCTTGGGTCTTAGGAATAGTTTCGTGACTATTCTCAGTGGCCACTGTATTGCCTCTCCTTCCTCTCAGGCTGTTGTCTACATGGTGTCTTTCAAATTCTTCCTAAAAAGCACATTTGATGATGCCATCCTCCCTCTTAAGATCTGTCTGTGGCACCTTACTGTTTTTAGGGTACAATATAAAACCTTTTGCATGGGCTGAGGGTGATTCTGTTTTAGTGATTGTGGAGACCTTGGGGGGGACCTCTTGTCACTGCTCCATGCACTTTACATTTCTGCCCCCAAGGCCCTTTGCCCCTTCCCAACCATGCTGGCTCAGAGGTTCCCTTCTCATCCCCTGACCTTGATTTACCCTGCTGCCCTGGCAGTTTGCTTCCATCGCTGCATTAGAAATTTTCTTTCCCCAAGACTGGACTTTATGAAGATACAGCCTAGCATAGTGCTACACTTGAAAACAAAAGGGTTGACTGTTTTTCTCCCTCTTTTTCAGAAAGAAAGGTTGCCTTTCCACCCATGTCTCAGTCTAGGAAAACAGAACCTTTCTTAGGTTCTGTGAGATGTGGCACAGCAGAGCAGGGACTATTGTGTCCTTTCCAAATGGGGTAGCTGGTGGCTGTTACCTGGGACAGTGCTTGGTGCCCAGCAGGTACATGGTAAGTGTGTATCCAATCAAGATGGAGGCAGTCATGTTTAGACTCTTAACTAACTATGTATTAGTTAAGTTCCTCCCCTTGCAAGAGAGTTTTCTTATAGAATTGCTTTTTTGTTTGGGCTGCTTGATAATTACCTGCTACCGCAGATAACTCTGCTGCTTCCACGTTCAGTGACCTGTGTCATTCTGTTGGAAGATTATAGCGGTGCTTCCTCAGCAGAGCGGCACCTCTTACACCCTCCTGTGTCACCTAAGAATTTCGTTATATTGGGAACACAGCCCCTGTTTTAAAATACCATAGCTGGGGATATTTTTTATGTCTCATTTAAGTATCCAAAAAATAAGTAGTACTTTTATTAATTTGCTTGGGCTGGGCCTGTCATCACAAGTGCCAGAGGCTTGATGGCCTTAAGCCATGGCCATTTGCTTTCTCACTGCCCTGGATGTTGGGCACCCAGGATGAAGGGTCAGCAGGCCTGGTTTCTGGCGAGGGCTCTTTTCCTGGTGTGTAGAAAGTTGCCCTCACCTGTCTAGTAGACCGAGGGAGCAGGAGAGGAAGAGAGGGGTGAAGATGGGGGCAGAGGGAAGGACAAAGAGATCAAGCCATCTGGTGTCTCCTCTTCATACTGACGTTAACCAAATGAAATCCAGGCTCCACCCTTGCGATCTTATTTAACCTTAGCTGCATCCCAAAAAGCTCCATCTCCAATATCACATTGATGGTGAGGGCTTTACAAATAGGAGTTTTGTGGGGGATAAGGGGGAAGAAGGTACAGTTCGGTCCAGAACAAGGCCAAGAAATAATCTCCATATGTCACAGGGCAATTTTGAGGCAGTTAAGTGACATTCACATTTTGTGAAGGTGCTTTGAAAAATCCAAAGCGTAATACAATTAAAAACTACCATCCTGAACGAGCTTCTTGAGTGGAATTAGGTGACACCACCTTCTGCTTGCTGCCATTCCTGGAAGACCTCTGCATTCACGTTTTAAGTTTTTTCCTTTTTTCCAACCTGCATAATCTTAACTAAAGCCAGAAAAATCACATCTAGGTTCTATTTTCAATCCTTAATTGGCCCTTTCAAAACTCTCCTTATTTGCAGTTTTGAGCCGTAGTCAAAGATAACTTACAAAGATAAGAGATGTAGTAATAATATTTTTAAAATTTCCAGGTCTTGGTTGAATTACATGGCTCAGAAAATAGACTTCACACATCCTGGCTGGCATATTGACCCAGGCAGATGTGAAGAAAAAGAAAAGCAGATGCCACAGGGAAAAGTCTAAGAAAGGTTAACGTTTGGAAAAAATGTCTGAATTTCCAGTGTATTGTAGAGATTTAAAACTTAAAAATCATCTGAATTTTCTTCCAGATTTTGGGACATACCCACAATGAGAACACCTGGAATGTTAAAGAAAAACTGAAAATCTTACAGAAATTTTTATGCAGTAGTAATAATTATGCCACAGAATTCTGATTTCCCTGGATTTGGGGAGGTAAGTTTAAAATTTGTTTTGTTTGAATTAACTAGCATAATCGTTCAACGTGATTTTACTTATTAGAAGGGCTTGAATCAAGGGAATCATTGTATATAGATTTCAAAACCCACTGGTAATCCAAGTGTGGACAATTAAGAGAACCTTTCATGATTTGGAGATTAGAAACACTAGTGTCTTTTGAAGGATGTGCAGCTATGTTGTCTAATTTGCATTTCATTTTCCAAGAAAGATAATGTCATGACAACTGTGTTTCTTACATGTTTTTGCACATGCTTTCTTCAGTAGCTCTCTTTTCTTTCTTGGCTGCCTGAGCTGTCTTATGCCTCTCTTACTTTTCGTACATGATCCTGCAGTGCTGCTTGTAAAAGGATACTTCTCAGTTTCTCTCGGAAGGGCCTTTTGCTTTCATGGGGAACTCTCAGACTCCAGTGAGTGTTGAGGACAAGAAGCAGGAAGTTATGGTCACTTTTCTTGGTTGGCCCATGTATATTTTATTGATTTTTCCTTTGGTAGCTATTTTAACTAACAGAGTTAACTTCTAACTTGTTTGAGTCAGGCTTTGTGTTATTGGAGTCTTTGAATTACAAAAGTGCTAGAATTTCCCTATGTTTAGGAAAAAGAGTACAGGTTTACGAAAAAGAATACAAGGAAAACAAAACCCCAAGTCACCCTATGCTTCACTGATTGAGTGATTGGTAGTGGGGATTGAATCCAGGGACTTAGCTCTTACTCCTCTAAACACTTGTTATTTGGGATACAAAGTGATTTCCTCCAAACAAAGTGATGTAAATATTTAGTTTTGTTATGTAATTGTTGTGAGGCCTTTGAGGGTAAGCTGCAGTTGTAGTTTTTTTCCTCTCCTTCCTCCACCCCCTCCCCTCCCCTCCCCTTCCCTCCTTCCTTCTTTCCTCCCGTCTCACTCTGTTGCCCATGCTGGCCTTGAACTCCTGGTCCTTGAACTTCAGCGGTCCTCCTGCCTCGGTCTCTTGAGTAGCTGGGACTTCAGGCGCACACCATCATGCCCAGTTCCAAGTTTGTGCTTGAATCTCCCAGAACATAGTGCTCTGGCTAGAAAGAGTAAGAAGTAGAAGTTGCTTTCATGGTGGCCTGGGGCACATGTGTTTGTTTAGTAAATGGTGGTTACAGCTATCACTTTACACTAGGCCCCACGAGTCTCAGAATAACAGAGAGTGTTTTTTTGGGGCGCCTTTCATGTTGCTCCCAGGACACACGGAGTGCCTGGGAAACGCTGTAGTGGAGGAGGAGCAGCGGAGGGTGGAGGTGGGTCTGAGGGAAAAGCTGAGGAGAAGAATATGGTAAGGGTAAGGGTAGGGTCACCCTGTACCTGATGGTTAGGGTGTAGGGAGCAACACCACTACTAAAATGTAGCTTGGAGCAGGATTGTGAAGGAGCAGCTCTATTTTGAGCATCGAAAAAATCCACATTCTGTAGGGGAGACCATTTTTGAAAACTTAATTATTGGCTTATGCATGTTTTTGAGTGTTTACTGTATGCTAAGCACTTTGGTAGCAGAAGTGGGATATGCATAATGAAATAAAAATGACCCCTGACCTCTTGAAGCCTGCAATTAGCCTGTGCCAGGCAAGGAGGTAGCTACCAGGGCAACCAGGAGATCATTAGATCATTTATCTAATTATCCAAGAGTGAGGCAATCTAGGTAGAGGGAAACGCTGGCTTAATATTAGAGGGAAAGCTAACTCAAGTTTGTGAGCAGAGAAATAGAACCCACTGCATTATTCTTTTAAAATAATTTTAAAAGAACTTTACTGAATTATGTACTTGAATAGTGATTCGCACTGGTTGCGTAGTAGGTGTGACAAATTTTGTTTTTATGTTCTCCTGTTTCCCTGTATCTGTTTTCCGTATTCCATGTTTGCCTGACAGAACGGATTCCCAAAAAATATCATTCCACATTCAGTCCCTGCAGTTGATTAACAGAAGCTTAAATGAAGATACAAAGGTGTCTTCAGTGAGACAAAACACAACAGTAGTGTTACATATAGAATGTCAAAAATGTTTCGAGTATGGCCAGCTTGTTAGTTCCAGGATAGTTAAAAAGATCAATATCTTAAATAATTGCATACTTGGAAAATTGTATAGATGCCCTCTCTATTTTGGTTTGCAGTGCTTAAGAAGATGAAAACAAGTGAAAAGTAAAATTATGGACATTTTTCATCTCCTTTCCTGCCTCCAATCTTATAGTGATACTTTTAAATTTTAAGTTTGATGGACCCAACTAGCGAGAAAATGTTTTCTGCTTGAGAAGTACATACACATCTGAAATAGTGATCCCTGTGCCGGTGAAGCGTGTGTTTTCCATACACGTCACGTGTGTACCTGTGTGTCTGAGTGAAGAGCTAAGAAAGGAAATGTAAACATTGGTTAGGGCTGGTGGCTTTCTACCTTCATGTTCTTGGCCCGGTATCCTCTGACAGCAAGCCACTTGCCGTCCCCTTGGTGCTGTGGGGTCTTTTCCTGCCAAATATTGTTCTCTTGAAAGATTAAATAGCTGAAGCAGTGTGGCCTGAATCTCAATCCTGCTGAGAATATGAAGACTCCTGCAGGTTGTAATACAGATTAGCTGGTGAGAGCTCTGTTAGAGAAATAAAGTGAGTTTCTCTAAATGAATTTAACAACTGCTGTGAACCTTTTTGTGTCCTCCAGCGTGAGCGTGTGTGCTGGCAGTTAACCATTTATTTCCCTCATTTTCTCGAAAAGTTGCTCCCGTCCACCCCTGAGTATTTATTGTAAACACTTCCGTAACTTTATTTCACATTCATGTTTTGCCAGATAAGCCATTTGATACACTAAATTACTGAGTGTTGTGAAGGGTTGGGTAAGTTGTTATTTACCTGATTTTCTTAAGGAGGGAAACCATATTTCTTTGTATTATGAAATGAAAGGGCTCTGGGTGTCACTCATAGAATTCAATGAGCCACACTACTGGGTTATTTAGAGTAAACGGATTAGCACATTAATTCTGATCACAAGCTTTACCTTATTGGTCCAAGAAGGTGTGGAAAATAGCAAGTGACAGAACGTATGGCCACATTATTTTGTATCGCTTGCAACCATTGCTATTTTTGTTTCTAGAGTTATATTACAACTGATGAAGGTTCTAAATTCTGCGGGGACTATGCTACTTCCCCTTAAATGAAATAACTAAATCAGGAACAATAGTATAAAGTATGGAGTACTCAGATAACCTGACAACAATTAGAAGTGTGTTAGCTTGTCAGATCGCAATCTTCTGTAGAAGTTTGTTAAACTCTTTGCGTTGCTTGTGTCTGAAATGTGCTCAGACTAGCTAGAAAGCAGCTTTTCCATCTACTTCCCACCCTATTCCCATTTGACTCCAGACACCCCGTGTGTGTGTGTGTGTGTGTGTGTGTGTGCGTGCATGTTTGTGTGATTTCTTAGTGAACATGTTTGTGACTGATTTGCAAATGGCAAAGCACAACACAGTTATAATAAACAACTATTCAATTCAGTAGTGCTGTTCTAAACTTTTGCAGATAGCTCCATAGATTATTAGCAGGGCTGTTTTAAGGTTCTTAACATAAGTATTTAGCCAAACATTTAGCTAAATATTTACTTAACTCATTGTTTTTACTTGTTGCCACAAATATGCCAAAACCTGGATGAGGGGATGTTGGCCTAAGAGAAGCCCCCAGGAGATGGGCTGTGTTAGTTTGGCAGCTTTCCACTGCCCCTGTAAAAGAGCCTCTGTCTTGCAGGAGAGGAGTTGAGGCTGTCACACAGGGTACCGCCTGACCTTAACTTTATGTTTTCTCAATAGTTGGAAAGCTAGTTTGCAACTGTCCTGACAGTCAGTCAAAGACTTGAGGCTAGCATCGAGATGTTTTGACCTCTAGTGTAACTGAAATTTGTTTTGGACACATCCTTAGTTAAATGCCGCCTGGGTTCCCAAGCCTAGGGTCTCTGATTTCAGTCCCCAGATATTGACTGTACCCCCTTTAAACTATAAACTATCAGTCTATAGATGTTGTGTCCAGTTTAAAGAGTGGTAATAAAATGGGCACCATGTACCTACCACCCAGCTTGTGAAACAGAACAGCTGTGAAGCCTTTGAAGGCTCTTGTATTTCTTGTAGGTTTATACCTCAACCTCTTAACTAGCTGCCAGCAATACAAGGCCCATGAGATTCTTGAACACATAGATTTTCATTGCAATCTGATGGAAAGATCATATGAGAATCTAATCCCCATGTGTATAAACAATCTACGGATTTGGGAGAAAGCATGGTTGGCTTCTTGTGTCATAAAAGCACACACAGTCCATGTGGGATGCCTTCTGCCTCCCTTAGTCTTTGTTTTTAGCTGCTCGGAGTTCAGCAAGAGCTGTCAGGCACTGTGGCATTGTGCACTTCTGTTTGTTCTTAGGATAAGTGGGGATAAAAATTCAGGCACCAATCTCTAAAAATAGTTGTCGCCGTCCTAATGTCATGGGTCAGGACACTGGAACTCAGGGAGGGTAAATGAGTTGCCCAGTTGCATATACCCAGGAAAGAACAAAACTGGAATTTGTTGTTTTTTTGTTTTTTTTTTGTTTTTCTCCGGTACCGGGAACCGAACTCACCACCTTGCGCTTGCCAGGCAGGCGCTTTTGCCGCTGAGCTAAATCCCCAGCCCCCAAAACTGGGATTTAAGTACAGGATTTTGGGATTTTTTTCCCTTTGACTTCAAAGTGTAGTATTTTTTCTCTAAGTTAGGATTTTGGGAGCCTTACTTCTGTGTTTTACTGAAGTGTCTTTTTCCCATAGAGCAAATATGAAAGATAGTAGTTTCTCTTGATAGTGCAGAAGTTTATTTATTCTTAAATGGTACTTAGGAGGTCATGAAGTGAGCATTAGGACCAAATTGAGATGTTTCACTTTTTTTTTGTGGTACTGGGATTAAACACAGGGTTTCCTGCATGTTAAGCAAGTGCTGTACCACTGAGCTCCACCCCAGGCC